GATTTTAAATTATCATGCTTGCATTATAAATCAACAAAATCTTTATGCAATTTGTTAAAGGCATGCAATAATTTTTCACTAGCACAAGCAAGTTCATCATTAGGTAAATCATTAATGGTTTCGAATTCGCAAACCTCACTAGGGCTATTGCCTAGTGGCTGTGTGCATGAAGCTCCATATGAACTTGAAGCAGGATCCTCCAAAGCTTGTCGGATCGCCTCCAAGTCTCCTTGATGTGCTTCTATAAATTTCCAAACTTTGTAAGCACTATCAAAATGAACAAACTTGTTAGACATAGATGAATTAAAAGCATTTAGCAAATATTCTAACAAAATATTGTTCATTGTAAACATACGATGATCATTCTTATTCCACTTGGATTTCTCCAAAATGGGCACAATATAAGCATCATCTATAATTTCCCATAAATCAAAGTGTTTAGATTGAACAAAAAGTTTAAATCTAACACACCATTGGGCATAGGGGTAAACAAGATGCATCATTCATATCCATAATTTGTGAAAATATGCAAGCAAGATACAAATGCAATCAAAAAAAGATTAGCACAAAAAAATAACTTGGATCTTTAACTCAAGGCGATTAGACATTAAATCAAAGAGCACCAAGCTCTGATACCAATTGTTAGACCCTAGAGGGGGGGTGATTAGGGTCTTATGCTAATCTTATCCGATTAAATGCCAATTAAAAACTAATTAACAAGCTATCCTAGCAAGTATGAAATACAACAAGATATATGAGCTAGGATAAGCAATATGAACAAAGAGATATATCCTATATGATGAATATATATATGCAAGGATATATAAACTAGCACAAGGGGTAAACTATATGAACTAGATAGTGGATCGTATAAATAATGAGCTAAAGACAATGGCGACAAGAAATATAAACACAAGTAAAAATAAACGCCAAAGCACACTCAAACACAAGATATGATCACGGAGTTCGGACCTTCCGTCCTACGTCTCCGCTCCCCACTCCCGGGGAGAAATCCATTAACACAACCGGGTTTTCTACACTCACCCGAATAATCTACAACTCACACTCTTGCAAACCCACTCTATACCCTCACAAGTGTGGGCCCTAGCCATGTCTCCCTCAAGTGCTCGGTTACAACCTCTCCCTAGGCTCGTCAACCGACGCCACTCCTCTTGGGACGATCCCCGACTCTCACCACACACTCCTCTCGGTGTACAAGTGTATTACAAAGTGAATCTCACAATAAGGCTTAATACAATAATTGATTGTTCTCAACTATGGATGAGAACACAATGAAAGCTCACACTCAATGTTATAACCTCTCACCAACCTACAATATATTATGAATGCAAATACAATAAGCTCAAGTGGGTGTGTGTAACAATGAGATAAAATAAAATGTAACTCAAATAGCAAACTAGCAATAATAAGAATATGAAAATCAATAATAAAATTGCTAGAGAAAAGAGTTATAAAACTTCTCTATGAACACAAAGAAGAGGATGAAGAAGATTGAGAATGAATCCCTCAATCTGCAGTGAAAACTTCATCTGTAAACAAAAACCCAAACTCAAACAAACAGTAAAACCCTAAACCCTTGTTTAAAAACTTTCCCTTTTTTTTGCTCATCGATAACTGAGATCAAGGAGGGTATTTATAACCTCCAAACCTCAGCCAACAACCCCAGGCAAAAGACAAAAAATAGCCCAGAAAATCAGCTCAGAAAATAGCCGTTGGGAACGCAACGGATATATTAGCGGTCGACGAAATTCCTGCGGTCGACCGGATGGAGCTCTCGTCGACCGGACCGGTCGACCGACAAACTCTCTGGCTGGCCCACTGACGGCTGAACATATGAGCGGTCGACCGATCGGTCGACCGAAATCTGATACATGAAAATCTGATTTCTGATTTTAAAACCCTGTTAAAAATATGCAATAAATTCCAAAAAGTAAACTTTGGGGAATGATTGTAGACATGATAATAAACATGCTACAGATAACTGGTTCCAAAAAGGACTTCCAAATGAAATATATCATCATTTACAAAATAGGCCAAAACATGAAAATGTAAACATGTGATATTTAACATTAGGCTTAAACCATGTTTTGAAACTTTGCACAATGATTATATTAGACTTAAATAAAATATGTATAGATTATTGTTAAGTCCAAAAACTAAGAAAACAATATTTTCACATAATTGCATATACTAAGGGCAATGTTTTCAAAAAACACATAGGAAATATGAAATATGGTGATTTCATATTATAAACATTTAAAACCAAAACCATGTATGTATAATATACTATATATATGCATAGAAACCAAAACTTATGTATATATATATATATATATATAATATATATTATATATATATATATATATATTATATATATATTGATACTATATATATATATATATTAATATATATATATATATATATATATATATATAACTATATATATATAACTATATATATATACGAAGAAACCAATAAATGTGTGTGTATAGATATTGAGCTTAACGTACTTAACACACATAATATAAAACCTAAACTAAATTACCCAAGCTTGATCTTGATCTTCAATAAACTTGAACTTGGTACACTTGCGGATGAAGCTGAACTTGGATCTTGAACTAGAATTGCATAAGCTTCACCGACTTACCGCCAACCTCCTTTGGATATGATCGTTGATGCTCTATTCCATCCATCCTCCAACTACATTGTTTGTCTATAATAAATAAGAAAACACAAATACTAGACAAACAACATTAGTGGTAAATTGTTTGTTAAACATCATCAAAACAAGAAGGCCAACAGAGGGGAGATTCCACTATGAGAAGAACACCGACGACTTGTACAATCCACAAGCTCGTCTCAAAAGAAAAAAATCTAATTTTTACCCAAAAGAAATTAACCTCTCTTTTGTAAATCTCTCTTTTTCTCTCCTCAAGATCTCTCTTTTTCTCTCTCAACAAAAACACCTAAATCTCTTTATTTCTCTCTGTTTTTGCCGACTAAACCCTCTGCTATTATCCCGCAGTCTTTTCCCCTGCGTTTTGTTTCCCCACGCACAAAACCCTAGATAGCATAGGATTTAAATAGAAGAGACATATGAAAAGAAAATCGGATCTGGTTGATATCCACGTGAATGGGTGTGTGGCCCCCACATGAGTGAGCTGTTCACGCGCTTGTGCCTTGCCAGGCTGTCCCGCGCTCGCTCACACTTTGTATTTTGGGTTTATATACAAAGATGAAACTACAAAGGGCTGGAGTACATCAAGTTCTCTAATTTGGGGTCTTGACACAATTTTTCCATGTTTTTTTTTTCCTTCTTTTTCTTTTTCTTTTTTTGCTCTCTTTGTTGTTTCGAGTGTTAATGTGTCAAAGCCGCTATAATTGCAGGAAAACCGTCTCGTGGAGATCATATGCTACGGCTCTTTCGCAACTTGTTCGGAGATAGACCCGTAATGAGCTGCACCCACAGTCTTATAGTAATTTATTGCATCCCTTCTAATGTTTCCGTCACATGGATGATGGATGGATTTAGGAGAAGAGACAATCATTAATGAACAGAGATCACAAGAAGGAGCTACAAACAGACCCACATGATATATACTGGTCCCAGTGCAAAAACCAGAGTTCAAGGTATAGCAGCAGACTGCCACTAGAACTTGGCTCTATCTTCATCCTTTCACGGTTTGTGAAGGTGCGTGTTATTACTAATTTTGGTTGTAAACATACTGATCACCTTTGTTGCGAATAAATAGTATGAGCTTCATATGCACTGTCTTTGTTCACGGTATATATCTTTGGTGCTGTATATATGTACAGGGCTTCGATTTCTCGGGACACGTTCCTAACGCCATTGTAGAATTCGATGAATTGATCTCTCTTGAATATTATCTAATCCCATCCCGGATTTCATATATGAGAAGTTATTTATGTAATGGATGATAGTGATTTACTGTAGGAAACCTACAGAGAACATACCAATTATTGTATTTTCAACTCATCCGTTTGTAAAAACAATTCTCTATTTTACATTCTCATGTGGTACTTACCAGAATCAAGTACCATTCTGAATTCCAAGTACCTTGCATTGCAGTGGGTCCTCAGACAAAAACCCCTAAACCTACAACAACATCAATAATTCTACATACTATCTATGGGCCGAACATCTTTTGATCTACGTAGCTGGCAACCAATTTGACCAAGCATGCACTGATATCAGACATCTTTGGTAATTCAAGCCAAATCACACGTTATGGATATTATATGCGCCTAATGGCTCAGGCAACTAGACCTGACAATCTTGGGTAAATTTTAGAAAAACCCCTGAATCTTGGAGTGTTTTCCAGGAGACCCCCTGAACTTCGGGGTGTCTGAACTCTCAACATTTCTTAATGGAGTCCCTACCTGAAGATCATAAATAACTAAAATGTTATTGCATGAGGAAAAGCACCTACGTCAGTTGTCATTTATAGGTAACAGAGCCCCCTCACAAATAGGAGGTTTCTCCTCTCAAAGATATTTTAGTAATTTTTTCCATTTATAGGAAGGGACTAGGGGGTCCATAAGGAAAAGTTGAAAGTTTAAGATCCCCAAAGTTACTGGTGGTTTCGTGGAATAAAAAAAGTTGGAGGTTTCCTGAAATTTATCCTTCAAAATGGGTATACTTGGTACCAAGCACGAAAATTTGTGTTTGATAGTGAGGTGGCATAATCCCCCTTCACTCATTCACATGATTGCATATCCTCATACACTCTTCAACTCACATGTGAATGTGGTCCCCCATTTGAATGAGTGGAGGGGATTGTGGCCACATCACTACCAAGTATAAAATTTGTGCTTGGTACCAAGCATACCCATATTTCTATATATATATACACGCACACACAACTCCTCACTCCTTCACGAGATACAACACAATCTCACAAAATACTCTACAGCTCAACTCAGACTCCACCATGCTTTACTCCAAGAAGCTCTTGCAAATGGTGAAGAAATGGCGCAAGATGGCCGCCTTGGGTCGACGAAGAATCATGTCATCAAGTACTAGTGCATATTCTCCATGCCTTGCAGATAAAGGCCATATATTTGTTTACTCCTCGGATTCAAAGCGCTTCATGATACCCCTCTCTTTCTTAGGCCAAACCATCTTCAGAGAGCTATTTAGATTGGCTGAAGAAGAGTTTGGGCTTCCAAAGGATGGACCGATAGTTTTGCCTTGTGACGCCTTATCACTGGCGGGCATTATCTCTATGCTTCATCGTAGGGGATCTAAAGACGAAAAGAGTGATGCGCTTATGTTTAGTGCTGGTGACCAATGCTTTAGTTCTTCTTTGTCTCTGAAGAGAGATGATCAGCAACAATGTGTGACTGTTTATGGTTTCTGAAAATTTTTTGTTTAGAGTTTTGGCTTGCAATATATCTTTGGTTTGGGAATATTTTGATTGAATGTGATTACATTCAGTTAATATTGGGTTTCTGTTGTGGTGGTTAATTCAACTTGTTTATGAGTTATCTTCTCTAATTGATATGCTTGAAATTGTTGCAACGAACAGTTCTGAGGTAGGAGCAAAGACTACGGCCTAGTTCAATTTCCATATATGAATCATAAGTCTTTGAATCAGCCATGACTACCTTGTAGAATCTGAAGAAAAAAACTACAAATGTTCACATCTCTATTCAAGTACATGAAATGCAAAAAACAGAGACCATTCTCATGTACTTTTAAAACTGATGGAAGGTTGGGATGGGGTAGGGGGGAGGGGGGACCATCCTCATGTACTTTAGCTTAAAATCCACAGGTTGCCATTGGAAAACAATGGGTACCTCTACCTTGGATCATCCAATTTGTTAGAAATTTTGACCAATATTTATTTCATTGGTGATAATTGCTAAATAATGGAGACACGTGCTCAACTAACTACAATATTTAGAACAAGCACGTGCACAATGTATCACTGCCATAAACAATGAATGTACTCTCAAGTGGATAACCAATGTGGCAATAAGCAATCGATAATAGATAAAAAAACCAAGTTGCAAACATTGTCACATGGACGCTGGAGAGAACTCAAAATGTTTCAGTGTAAAATTTTATACGCAAGAATGTTTTTGTGTGACGTGTTAATGGCTTCCAACAGATGTTGTATTTTTCAATGTAAAATTTTACATTTTCTTCTTCTTGACTTTGTTGTTCGAACTATCCGCAGGAAAGGAAAAAAACCTCTAGATTGTCTCAAAATTGTAGCACACAAAAATTATAGCTAATTGTGGTACGCAATTTCCTCTAACACACAGGCTTTATGTTTCAGATCCAACCTCCACATACAATTCCGTCTGCAAGCAAACACTGCAAACGAAAAAATAGTTGACCAAAAATAGAGTGGGGGGGGGGGGGGGGGGGGGGGGGGTGTTGTAGCAGTCATGTTACATAGAAGTCTGGGCACAATTTCTGTTTGGTTTAAATAAATGGGATCATATGAATTCTGCTATTCAAAATTACAATAATCGTTCAAATATCTCTGATAGAAGAAAAATACAACACTTATGCTGGCCGCTGGAAAAGCCCATGATCAAACAAGAGTTTATGGAATTAATTACCACCTATAGACCAAGCCATGACGGAAAAAAAACCCAAAGCCTGAAGTGTAATAAGACATGTACACATAAATATGGCAAAATACCTCAAAAAATCTAATATGTTACAATCCTAAACGAAATGGAAAAAAGAAAAAGGAAATGCAGGCAGTATGATCGCATCAGCAACATCGACATGAAATAATGTCAACGCATGTATAAGGTTTTGCTCTGGCCTCTAGTTCCTCTAATGTGGGTACTGCTTCCATGGTGTATATACTATCATTGGAGCAGCAAAAGTTGTAGATATTTCTGCAGGCTCCTTTACTGAATGGCCGAACCCTCTCAGGAATTCCCCTGTAAGATGCAAATTTCACATAATTGAGGCAACTGATCAAACAGAAACTTGAACATTCTATTCAACAGAAATTTTCTGTGTGGTCAATTACCTTAGATAAAGTATCCGCCGTCTCCTCACAAGCTCATAAGTAGTTTGATTTGTTACCACGAGATAACTGCATGAGACAATCAGTATTGGTTTCATGAGTTTTCAAGGTAAAGCAAGACAATTGGTCATACTGCACGTTCTAAAGCTAAAAAGCATGGACGTGTATACAGTGGCTTACACGCACTACATAAAAAAGGCTTAAAAGTAGGAACCAGATTATGGCAATATGATAATACAACTAAAAATATAAATAATAAAGAAAAGTGAGCACATGCTCACAAACAAGTCCAGCTATAGGGTCATATGAAATAACTACATACAGGATGATGTCAAATGGTGGTCGAAGGCACATTTAAGTCTCCAGATCCGAAACTGTCTTGATGTCTCGAAAATGGCAATGACTTCATCATTGAAGTTTCCATACAACATGGACTCTAATCAGGTAGGTATCATAGTCAGACAATTGAAACATGGGTGAGAAGAAATGATGATAGAAACCAATACAAGACTGCTAGGTTTAGCATTCAAAGAGTTGTTAAGCTCTCTTCGGACACCTAAGCTGCACAAGCAATGGCAAATCCATTTTGTGCTGGGTTTTTTTTTTTATAGTTGGGGTTTTGTTTGGGGTGGGTTGGGGGGAGATTTTAAGCCTTCACAAATCATAATCCGCCTCCTATAATTTGTAAACTTTTGCATCCCAATGACCCAATAATTTCTCAAATAACCACCACATATACTTATAGCACATTTGAGCCCATTTGCCTTTAGTAGCAAGTTTGCATATAGTTTTATAATATGTATATTCATATTTTTAGAAAATTAGATATTTGTCTTCCGCCCCTCCAAGAAAAATTTTCTGGATTCAACATTGTGCATAGGTATGGGTGTGGGTGCGAAAATTTTGTGAAAGGTAGGCTACGGGGACACGGCTGAAACTCAAGGGATATAATCATATTTCTGAGCTATATATGTAAACAATCCATTTAAATTGTAGCTCTTAAGGCTAAACAAACTTGACCCTTATCTAACGAATTACAAAAATGGATGTGAAGTGTAGAATATATATCCAAGAAATGTATGACGAGAGTTTTAAATAAAACATGCACTAAATAATTTGAGTACAGGTCTGAATATTATATATATGCATATATTTAAGGTGTCCAAGAAGTGTCGGGTACGTGTACGACACGTGTAGAGTACGGGTACAGCTCTATATTATAGGTACCCAGGTAACAAAGGCTAACACAAACGTTTTCATTTAACAAAGGTCAAAATCATAATTATCTGACAGATGTCAATTCTTTCTCCAAATCCAAACACGCTTTTTCAAATGGGCAAGGAAAATTCCTCAACCGACTTTGTATTTACTAATTTCCAGTTTCGACTAGTAATTACTTGAATTGAAAAAAAAAACCTACAAGTATATTCTGATCTAAATTTGCGAATTATTGCATATTTTGGGGTATTGAATGGAAGGAAAGTTCAGTGGGTAGAAGAAATGCTTAAGATAGAGAGAAAAAGGAAACAAAAAGGGACTTGGGTAGAAAGAAATCAAAGAATAATTCAAGCATGACAGAGAAGGCAAAGAAAGGAATAGGTTTAGGGTCACGGTTAGGGTTTTGATAAAGTCAGTTTGGAAGTAAGTAAACGATAAATAATGATTTATCTGTAGATTGTTAAGTGATCTACATAGAATAGTACCCTGCCAGTAAAGGACAAAGTTTTGATTCCAGCTGGTGTATAATTATTGGATATGATAATAACTAATTTCACAGAGGAGATGACTTAATACAACTGAATGAAAGATGTATAATTATTGGATATGATAATAACTAATTTCACAGAGGAGATGACTTAATACAACTGAATGAAAGAATATGATTCATGCAGCAGCCACCCAAAAGTTTGTGATATAAGGCTTTGTTGTTGTCATTGTTGTACAGGTAGACCCTTAACTCTATTAAGCATCTTTGATAAACTTCACATACTTTTCTGTCAAAGAAAAGATTCAAGATTATTTGTATTAAAAAGGTGATGAAAGGTTGGGGTAGGTAACTACAGATAAACCCATTAAAGTTCCCTTTCTATTCTTTTAAATTAGCTTGATAGTTTGCTACATTTTTTTATTCTTTTAATACATGACATTGAGGATATTATACACTATTATAAATAGCAGTAAATAGCATCGCAATAGCGGCACTAATAACGTGAGCAACCCCTTTCACAATGATACCGCCCAACTCCGGTGACATATTACGGAGTATGCGCTTTTTACTCATAAAAACAAGCCAATAACGCGCCATAGCAATGAATAGCAAGCGATTGCAATTAAAATCAACTTTTTGACCACTATTTAAAAACAGTTTCAGTTTTATGTTTTTATTTAACCCAACCCGCACCCACAAGACCCGATGTTTTAAGTCATTATCTGTCATGGTTTTTCTCTATTGAGTTTCCCCCTCGCGATCTAACTCTGAAAAAACTAGCCCCTAAAAAGGTCGCTGCCTCCCACCATATCCCCCACCTCCCCTAACTTCCGGCATCTTCCCACCACCTTTGGCCGCCTCTCACAACCTCCAGCGCCTCTCACAACATCTTTGACAGCCACAACACATTCTCACACCTCCTCTCGCCGTGAGCTCCTCCTATTGTAATCTTCTCAACGTTCAGCTCATCTTCTCGAAGATGACGACTCTTCGACTCCTCCTCTAGTCCTCTTCGACATTATGTGATAACTACATGTAATTTTCATGCTTAGGAGCTCTTTAAATCATTATATATGTAGTTTTAGATTTTCTAAATTTTATTTAAAATTTTTAAAATATTTATACATGTTTAAATTAGACAACTATTTGACTTTGCACCTTTTGCGGCTATTTTACCACAATAGCCCTATATAGTCTTAGCAGTGCCTCACCGCTACGTGATGCTATCTGTTATCGATAACATTGATATTGTAACAAAGATCATGCATACAAATATGTCTAGTATATAATAATTTTTGTTGTTCTAGTATTAGCATGGCTCGTATATAAGCCGATGCATCCTTCTATAAGGCTTTTCAAAAAACAATATAATCTCAATATCCTTGACTACTTTGGTAATTTTTGGGCGATATATACCTAATATGGTCGATATATCAATCGATACATCGACCGATATGTCCTATTACATGACATGTCTCTAACATCTGATATTTAGAACACGGATAACAATATATTAGGTTTCTTTCTAGTTCATATTACAAGCTCTTTTGGGACAAATTAGTTCTACAAAATTTCTTTAATGCTTTTTAGCATAGCAGAGATTATAGCCCTACAAAGTTTTTTTAGCAAAAGTACTAGGTTCTTTTCCCTAAGTTTTACAATCGGTTAATAATTCTAAACATATATTATTTACATTTTTGAATGCTCAGATTTCATTATGTTTAGATTATATTTTAGGACGTTATATTATATAAGCACATCGTCTCATAAAGCACTTCAATATTTACTAAATATCCCTGGTACTCGCAGTCCGCTATGGATTTTGGTCGTTTGACGTTTCCCTTATATCTGATATAGGGAAGGCAATTTTTGCCCATGCCCATTTACCCACCTAGCCCGCCCATCAATTGGTCCGTCCAAAACCCACCCATTTAGTTAAATGAGTCTAATTGGGCGGGTGCATTTCAAACTATTCTAAATGGGTACTAAACGGACGGTCTATATTCACCCATATGCCCACCCGTATTCCCAAAACCAAAACCCGAAGCCTGACGGTCTTCTCATTTCTTTCGGTCGCTGACGATAAGTTTTCGACTTCTCTTCTCTTTTTCGTTCTCTCTTTCGTTCGATCGATCGATCTCAGTACTCTCAATGGCGGATCAGCTGACGGAAGATCAGATCTCGGAGTTCAAGGAGGCCTTCACCTTGTTCGACAAGGATGGAGACGCTGTAATCGCCTAGATCCCTTTCTTCTCTCCTTCTCTTTCCTCAGATCTGTGTTTTTTGATGAATTTGAGGTGATCTTGTTCTGAATTAGTCTTGAATCTGTTTGTTTGCGATTCTTTAGGGTTCGGATTTGTTTGTTGCCATAGAAATCGTGATTTTTTAAGCTTTATCATGTAGTTAGGGTTTCTTTGATCCTTTATTGATGTTCAAGATCAATTCTTGTTTATTTAGTAGTTAGAGTTGGATTCCGTATAAGTATCGTTCAATTGTATAAATTTTTTTGTAAAAAAAAAAATTCTTGTAGTTGATTATTACTGGATTATAAATTATGTTCTTTGCGTATATTCCATCCAAATCCACCGATTTGCAAATTTACCCTCCTAATCTATGTGCATTACTGATTGTTTGTAATTTAGGCTGAATCTTATAGTTCATTTGTTTGTAATAAAACTCTTTATGAGAATATAAAGGGTTTAAAATCTTATAGTTCATTTGTCGGATATACTTGGCTGCTCTAGATTATGCTTATCTAAGAAGGGATTACTGCTACATATACATAATCACAATAGAGAGAAATAAGTGAGCAAAATTTGTATTTGTTATATCCCTTTCTCTTGAATTTAAAGCCCTAAAGTTTGTTTCTTTTTCTTATGAAATAGATTTTATTTTGTTATATAAAACTTAACCTAAATCACCTAAAATTTAGTACAGTTACTAGTTAGAATGGTTCAATATGAATCCATGAATATGAATTAGTAATTTTACCAACAATTAGTAGTAATTTTAAGATTACCAAGGCCTAACCACTCCCAATAGATAGCAAAGCACAACAATTGGAACTGAAGCCATGCTTATGTTGGGTACTTATATTAAGACAATATGTGCTCTATTATTGTTAACATGATTTTCCCTTGGGCATAATTCTGGCAATTGATGTTCTGTTTGCAGATACTGGCCAACGTACCCACCCATGGATGTTCGACTTCCTCATGAATTGAACGTTTATCAGGTTAATTAATTAGAATATGTACACCTCTGTCATTCTTTGAGTTATCCTTCTTTTGGAAGTTTTTGATCTCTTGTTGCGCACAATAGGATATATTTAAGGAGTTCTACTTAAGTAAGTATAGCGGGAGACGGTTAATGTGGCAGAATTCATTAGGTCACTGTGTTTTGAAAGCAAACTTTCCTAAAAGTAAAAAGGAATTGGCAGTGTCATTGTTCCAGGTGTGTGGCTCGTATCAGTCTTACTTTCTACAAACTTATTTGCACTTTAGTCAGCCTTAATATTTCCTAGCCTCCTACATGTTATCAGACTGTTGTCTTGATGCTGTTCAATGATACCCAAAAGCTCGGTTTTCAAGACATCAAGGAGTCCACTAGTATTGAAGATAAAGAGCTAAGGAGGACTTTGCAGTCACTTGCATGTGGAAAAGTTCATGTGCTCCAAAAGGTTTGTTGATCTTTGTATGTTACAACTTTGTAGATAGGTCAAATTATTAACATGATGTATCGGACTCTTATAGTTCCCAAAGGGAAAAGAAGTAGAGGATGAAGATGTTGGATTTAAATCTAATTAAATCTATTTGTGGGCACATATGATTAATCTGTGTGTATTGCTATCCTTCAGGATAACCCACTAAAGTGATCAATCAATTTGGATTAATGGGTATTTAAATATAATCATGGGGTTATATGTGCAGATACCAGGTTGTAATTGTGATTTGATGATGGGCCAAATTATAAATATATAACATCTATAAATAAGGGGTTATGGTCCCTAATCTAGGGTTACATTCTCTAATTCTCTTCAACCCCATCTAGAAAGAAATTTGGCTAGAGAACCCCTAAGGTTAGAAGATCCAAAACTCATCTCAAGTTTAATCTATGGGTTCAGGTATAAGCTTCCGCTCTTTTCTTTTGATTCTTGTAAATTTTTTTGAATTAATCATGGCTTTATGGTTTAGATCTCAAGTTTTATAAGATCTAACAGAAGATTCATTTGTGTTCAATGATGAGTTCAGCGCTCCTCTCTACCATATCAAGGTGAATTTTTGGGTTAAACACCTGTTCAGGGTTGCCAACATGCAACAGAAGCTGACACTTCATATTTTCAGGTAAATGCAATTCAGATAAAGGAGACAGTAGAAGAAAACACAAGCACCA